ATGATGTCAAAAACTTTAGGATCAATGAATGTGATAAATATTTATACATCAAAAACGTTTCACATGGATATGTTATGTTGTGTCTATATGTTAACGACATGCTTATCATAGGCAGCAACAAAGACATAATTCAACAAACTAAGAACATGCTTAAGGTGACATTTGAAATGAAGAACTTGGGATTAACATATGTAATTCTTGGTATTAAGATTACAAGACACATTGGAGGGATAATATTGTCCCAAAGCCTTTACACGAAAAAGATTCTAGAGTGGTTTTAGAACCACTCAAGCGGGAATGCAAAAAAGTCTAATGTACTTGACAAGTTGTAATGTACCAGATTTAGCGCATTCAGTAAACGTACTAAGTCGATATACGAGTAATCCAGGTCATACTCACTGGAAAGCCATAGCAAGGGTTTTGAGTTATCTGAGATATACTACAAGTTATGGATTGCATTATGGTAGAGAAAAATCAATGTTAGAAGGGTACATTGATGCAAACTGGATTTCAGATTCCAGAAATTCTAAATCTACAAGTGGATATATGTTTACTCTTGGTGGGGACGCGGTATCCTGAAAATCTTCCAAACAAACACTCCTGGCGAGATCAACCATGGCGTTAGAGTTCATAGATTTAGACAAAGCAGCAGAAGCAGCTGAGTGGCTCCAGATCTTCTAGAAGATATCCCAATGTGGGACAAACCAGTGCCAGCTTTGCGGGTACATTGTGATTGCCAGTCAGCTATATCTCGTGCACTGAATACATATACAATGGCAAGTCTCACCATATACTATGATGACACAAGACCATTAGGCAACTGATCTCGGGTGGTGTACTAACGATAGATTAAAGCAAGTTGGCTCATAACTTAGCGGATCCGTTTTCCAAAAGCTTGCCGCGAGATCAAGTTCTTAAATCATCAAAAGGAATGGGTTTAAAGCCTATGGATACATATGGTGCCATGATGGATACCTAACCTATGTGACTGGATATCCTAAGATCTAGGTTCAAAGAGACAACTAAATCAAGTATAGACTATTAAAAGCACTATAAGTTGCTCAGTTTCTAAGATGATAACATAGCTTTTTTGTAAGTAATGATGGTTAAGCATTAAAGCTTTTAATGATATGAGACCATAGTCTACAGAATAACACAATCTCTTATGTATATGTGATAGGTAATGGCAATCACCTAGTGGCTGTGAAATGTAGTCGTTTCTAAGAGAATGAAATTTCAGGCTATATTCTCCAAGTTTACTCACGATAAAACATGCAAAGTTCAAGGCCATAATGAGCACAATAGAGAACTTAAATCTTCAAGAAGACGAAGCTGTGTTATATATGTTTTAACATAAAAAAACCAGGCAACTCAAGACATCAAGTTCACTACGTGGCTGAGTAATTCCGGCAGATATCAACAATAAATGGTTCAAGGCTGAGAAGCTACTAATTTAGATACAGTTAGTCTTTGTTATACTCTCGAAAAATCTGTCTAGTCTAGTCAAGTTAGAGTCTAGTCTAAGTTAAGTCTTTTCTAGTTTACCGAGTCTATAACTTCATATGTTTAGATGTCATTCTATTCATGTGGGGGATTGTTGGAACAAAACTAATAAAGACAATGTTAGGCTTTATCAATTTGTGCATGTGTGAATAAAATATATGTTGTAGCCCATACAAATGAAACATTTTCATTAGATATAACTATTTGTGGAAAGTTAACATTACCTTACATTGGAAACTTAAAATTTCTTTTGGCTAGTATATATAAGGACCATTCTATGCATTAGTTTAAATGACTAAGAGAGGAAAAAAGAACACATGCGAGTGCCACCACTATCGGGCTGGACTGTGGCCCGTGGTCTATGGTCTGTGCTATGTAGTTAGATTTGCTCTTAGAGCTCTCTCAAGTTTTTGTGGGTTCAATTAAAAACCATGGTCCTCTCTCTACCTTATATATACAAGTCGCAAACCTTTCTTTTTAATCAATTTAAATGTGAAATCAAATATACAACAAAAAAACAAATACAAAGTTCTTTCAATCTACCATTGTAAATCTACCATTGCATCAAGTTAGTTTTTTGAGAGTATTATAGAGTTAATTTTGTCAGATTTGATATCAAGTGTTGTGATTCAGGATTAAACGATTATATTGTGGGACTCATAAATTATGAATTCTTATCATACTACAGATAATTTTTTTAATTAGGGAAAGTGATTTTGATCTTAACTTCATTTTTTAATTACGCTATTTCCGATTTACTATTTCAAAATTTTTCTTAAACTCATTTTATTAAATTTTAATTATTTCTATTACTTTCAAAATTAAATCAATTTATTTTGTTTATAAAATATTGGTCTTAAAGTTCACGATTATTCCTTCCAATTGGTGTGCTCCATTTTTTTTAATATAGTCTCACTGTCAATATCAGCTTGGCAGATCAATTATTAAGACAGCATGTGAGTTTTGTAGATGGTTCTTCGTTGTTAACGAGATGGTTGTATAGATACATATAAATACAACGTGCATAATGACTTCATTAACTCATCATGTGCTTTGTATTTATATACAACTTTCTCACTACTAACCAATAATCAACAACAAAACTCATCTATAATATTCTTAATAAACCACTTTGGCATGCAATCAATTTATCATGTATATTTGTATATAAAATCATCATGTACATTGGTTTTAAGAATTTTAACATTGAAAGTTTTTTTTTAAAAAGAACTGTAACATTGGAACCACCTTTAGTTCTCCACCTTTGAGTATTTTTGTCATTAGATCAATAAAAATCATTCAATTCTAACATGGTCTTCAATATCTATATGTGGTAACATTCAATTCAATTCTAACCATGTTAGTATTGATGGGACTGTGCAACTATCATTGATTCTAGCTAGGGTTTGAATTTCTTTTCAAAAACTAAATTGGGAATATCTGTAAATACAAATTTAGTTTTTTTAAAGAAGAAATGCTCCAAAATAACCTAGAATGATAAAATAATATGAAATATGTATTCCATTGAGAGAAAATTGTAAAAATGATCTATTTTTACGATTTTTATAAATATTAGTACTACTCTTCTAACTAATGTTATCTGTAGACTAATGATAAACTAATGACAAATTAACGGCTGACTAAATGCAGACTACTAGCAGACTGATTGGTCAAATAGTTGAATGTAGACTATTGACAGATTAATGGTACACTAATTACAAATTACTAATAGACTAATAGTATATTTAAAACAAACTAGTAGATCACTCTTATAGCATTTTCATGTTTCATAATAAAATTATCAAGTGAGTTATTTTAAAAATTATCTGTTTTTTTGGATTTGAATAAAGAAATCGTGAATCTATTGGAAGCATTAACAAAGTAGAAGAGACGTTAGCATTTTAAAAGGAGTCCAATTGAAAATTGGGGACTATAACGTTTGGTGACGTAAAGTTGGAGAAAGACGTAAGAGAGAAATAGAGCAAACATATAAATAAATAAATGTGCAAAGTACTTATACGTCTCAAGCGTTGTGTCATTCTCTTATCTGTGGAAAGGTTGATTAGCCTCAAAAATGTGTGATCTTCGCGTTATTGCATGTCGTATCAAGTTTGATTGTTTGCCACCAAAACATGGTCCCCCACAAGTCGCATGAAAAAACAACATTCACATGCGTCTTATCAGAAGAACTACATTCAAATAGATTTTCTGTATAAATTAATTGTCACATTGTACTATTCATATTCTCTCTGCTCCACAAATCAACTTAGTTTCCACGTACTTACCTTTACGGGATTATCCAAATTTAGGAATATGATAATTGGTTAAAAACGACACCCGCAAAATGCCCTCTCGTCGAAAGCCAGCGAATGTTAAGCTCGCCAAATTGTGAGTGCATTTCTCGCCAAAATGAGATTTCGCCTATTTGTTTTTGTCAAAACATGCAATTTCTCAAATTCCGTTGTAATGAAAATTCTGTAATATTTTGATAAAATGCAGTTCAAATTCCGTGATTTCCCACACACAAATAGATATACAAATATACAGTTTCCTGCACAAAAGTGATTTCATATTATAATTTTTGTTAAAAAACAGTATTTCCATTTTTTTTCTGCAAAACATGGATCAAAATATAACCATAACTCCCATCATATTGATCAAGGATTTTCGTTATAAACTATTTACTCTCAGTGACATTCCCCATTAAGTCATTCGCTTTTGGAATTGCATTTTGGCATTAAAACTGTAGAATTAGGCTTTGGAACCATAACTATAAAATCTTGTTATAGTATAAACCACAAAATTATTTTTTATCACGAAGACCACAAAATTATTTTTTATCATGAAGACCGCAAAATTTTGATTTAGCATTGAAATAGCAAAATTCTGTTTGAATGTGAAATTTCGTTGTGAGACCAATTCTAAAAAAAAAAACTGTTTTCGCAAGAAGACTATATGTCTAAATGGTAACTGTAAAATTTGGTGGAATGTGAAAGCTGTAAATTTTTTGTGTAATTTTTAACTGAATCTAGCAAAATAATCAATAATGTAAATGGTAATCGAAGAATTGCAGAACAGTTGAAAAAATATATAAATTAAATGAATAAATATATGAAATTAAAATGTTTAAATATATTATTAATGTATTATAGAATATAAAAATGTAGAAGCAAAATTAAGAACTACAAAAGTTAATAAACTACATTACGTATAGATATTATATAAGAAAACTAATATGTATGCTATACTATAACATAATTTTTTTAAACTGTAAAAGATACAATCAGTAATAACATGTGAGTAATTATAGATTAAATTAATTACTTCTAATTATTATATAATTGTATGATATTATGTATCTACATTTTATTTAAACATATTAGCATCTGCAAACAAACTATATTAATCAAAACTAATAAATAAAGAAATAATATAATATAGTAATTGATGGGAAAAAATAAGCACACAATATCAACACATTACTCTTATGAATTGAATTATGAAAAAAAACACCCAAAAATTCAGCACATAATTCAAAACTCAACATATTCTTCTAATTAATCAACTGGTGTAACAAAAACAATTCAGCTGAAATTCAGCCACGTTCAGAAATTAAGCTGTTACCAGTTACTTACATAATATTTTTAGTATAACATGTAAGTCAATCTAAAGGAATGGGATCAAAGAGTAGGGACATGACATGATCAACAATTTTAGCTTTCTCTGGAGAGCCATGTCCATCTCCATATTGATACATACATTGCGACATGCGTGCTAAATTTATTACAGTTTCCATAAAATCTTCTGGGAGTAGCGAAGCGCTATGTCCCATTTTTTCGTAATTCATTTCATCCCACATGTCATTGATCATCTGCCGCACGTGCACACGCGCTTGCTCTCCTGACGCTCCGGTCTCATTCATGTAACATTGGATCGATTTGGAGACGTCTCCTCTCTCCAATTCATCCTACATATACACAAATATTCATATGTATAGCAAAGCCATATTTTAGTCACTTTTTAGCAAAATATATAAAAAAAAATTTCACGTGTACATGCATGCCGGCATTAATGTATTATTCGTAAACAAATATTAAATAAAAGATCATTTTATTTGCCTAAGTCCAACTGTCCCAATTAGTAGACTGATAGTTGTCTCTAAGACTCTAACTAATAAGTCTACCAGTCAAAGCTATATAATCTATTAAACTTGGAAAAATGTTTTACCGGTGAAGTTACAAGATCGTTGGCTAGACGGAACACAGAGGCAGAGCATCGGACGATGTTTTGTTGGTGTTGGGACAAGGTCTCCAACACTTGTATAGAGAGTTTGTCCGAGAAGACGCAGTAGAAGTGAACAAATATTGTTTGTGCCCTCTTTTGTACCACTTTGCTTCTACTAAATATGCTTTGCATACATCTGCCCACTAAATAATATAATTTCAAAAGGAGTACTTAATTAGTTACAATATTTGCAAGTTTCCATGATTTAACATATAATAAATTTTGTGAGAATGGTTCTTATATTTTAATAGTTTTGTTCCCGAGATTTCCAATTACCAAGAATATTCAAAATATAAAATATATTATTTATTAGCGGCCAAAAAGAAATATAATATTTATAATTCATGTATATATACCAATTGCCAAAACAAAAGTTTGATCACAAACCTTTGGTCAAAAATATTGATAAAGTTGGATAGGTTGCCAAAGAAATTATTCAGAAATATGAGCTAAAGAAAATACATGTCGAGAAGTACGTGATTAAGTTTATACAATAGTAAAAACAAAAACAAATATGTATATAAATCAACCATGTACAACAAGTACAGCAGAAAAAAAATATGCTTTACACACATCATTTTCAGAAAATGTCCTAGCAACTTGGATATAATTTAAAATTTACTTAAAATAAACAATATCAAAAAAAAAAAAATTCGATAACCGGAGTAATCATAATCCAAAAATCTAGACTAATCCATGATGTCTATAAAAATCCAGATATTCGTGCCACTAAAAGTACGGATGGCCAAATTAAAAAAGTTAGATCATTTCACGTTTCAGTAGATTTGATTCTTATCCTAAACAAAATCCAAAACTTAACTATTATATAGACTTACAGCCTTTCTGAGGAACGGGATAACGTTGATGTTTTTATTTCTGAGAATATCACATCCAATGGTATTGACTTCATTGTACACAACAAGAAAACACAACCTCATGTACTCGGGGAGATCATCAAGACGATTTACATCCCAACTGCAAAATATTTATATAGACCCAAATCAATCAGTATCATGTTTAATCATAAATTCATTATTATGAAATAACAAAAACAAAATGAAGTAGAAATAATAGTGTGGGGTTCTTTACTTTTCAAACGCGACAGTGAAGAGTTGAAGTTCTTCAAGAGTTCCATAGATATCGTAGATGTCATCGATTGTTGTAAGAAGTGCATTGACTTTAGTCATTGTTCTTCTAACATTCCCAAATTGAGGCTCTTGAATTTGTCCAATAGTCCAAAAATAATTCTCCACAATCCTGTCTCTTGCAAAGTGAAGTTGATGACCTAGACCTGTCTCCCTCCACCAGCTTCACACCACATGTATAACGAGAGAAAAATAAATTAGAGTATCAAATATACTTTATTATATGCTATATCATTTTCAATTCGAGATTTCTGACCTTAATGATTATTTATGTGTGACCAAGACATACATCTTAGTAGTATGTATTAGTATCGTATTTGTGTCATTTGAATCATAATCAGATTCAAGTATAATAGAATGCACGTTTGTGACAAAACATTTAATATTTTTTTTTTTGACGGCACAAAACATTTAATAGAAAATGATTATTTATGTACGTATATCACATACTCATTTGAGTTTAAAATGGTTGGAATACCATGTTGAAGTTTATGAATTCTCATCTCAAAAGTAATTAACAAACCATAGATAAATCTATGGTTTATGTAGTTTTCTAAATAGGTTTATGATATGTAAAATCGCTATTTGACTAGTAGTTGATACATACCTAGAAACATATTTGAGTTCTTCTTGATGAATAGCTTGTACGATGTTGAAATCGATCTTGGCGAATTCAACTAAAACAAGGTTCTTGTTAGGTCGCTTGGACCACCATCTCTCGTACGTCACTAGACCCAAAATCTGCATTACTATGAGTATCAACAACAAAGTCTCTGAGTTGTTGTTCTGCAAAAGGTCTGATGAATTTTCGCAGTTTAGTATCAGATTTTTGCGAAAGATATGACGCCTCGTAAAGAGACATGAGACCATTTATACCATCACTCTCAAACTTCTCATGATTTTCCATGAAAATATCGAGTACATCTGTAGTTTAACAAAAAAATCATCATTAGTAATATATAAGAACATATTTAAATACAAGAAGGATATAATTTAACATGTATAGGTGATGAATTACCCTCTGAAACATTAAAACCACGTTGTCTAAAAAGTCTAAATTCGAGTGCGGTAGCATGTAGATCTTTTTCTATGTCACACTGCCTCATGATTCTTCTATCTTCTTGATAATAAACTGTTAAAATGTTCTTGATTTCCCGCTCAAAATGGTAAGACACGCCGAGTTTTTGCAAATCGTCAATGAGCTCCAATTGGTCGAGATAACTCGTCTTCCCATCATTGAGCATCATTCTCACCTCTTCCTTCAACAAATCTCTCTCTCCTCGCACACTTTTATCTTTCTGAAACCAGTGGAAATTGTAAATATACATAGCTATGAACATATTACTATACTATACGACATCTTTATAGAGATTTATATTGTATAAGGAGTACTTCTGTATACCGCATATTTATTCTCGACTGGGAGGAGATGATACTTGTCCCAAAGAGAAGGCTGATAATTTGCGGAACGACGTGGAACAACGGGATACTCATCGCCCGGTGTCGTTTTCGCCACTGTGGTACATGTGAAAGATTTAGAACGTGGAATAGTCTTCACAAGGGCACTACTGTAAATAAGAGGTGAACCAATCTGCAGTAGACTGGCCATTGAATAAGAATGGTATGACATTAGGTGCCTTGCTTTCTATACTGTTTGTGTATATATATATATATATATATATACACATGCATGTATGTTGTTTGTTGTGTCCACGTCTTTCCCGTGAATCGCGCGTATCTTTCAATACTTATATAGTGGTTTATTATGATTTGGTAACATTAAATTGCCTTTAGATACAAAGTTAGCAAAACACTACAACGTATTTTCAGGTAAATCGCGTTTTGCAATTTTTTACCCGTTTTGAAACATGATGAAAACAATGCATGTGGGACCATTATAATTAAATGATCTTAAATAGTAAGTCATAAATAAAATTGAATTATGGTCCCATACCTATCTTTTAATCCATACTATTATTTTAGATTCACTTCAATGTTTAAACACATTTTATGTGTTATATTGCATGAAATGCTACTGCATTTTAACTTTCTCCTTACATTTTCATTAATGGTAGTTTAGTCATTTGTTAATACAAGAAATTAATTTTTATTTTCTTTTTTTTATTTAGTTCTTATATACATATTATATATTATTTGATATAAATAATTATATATTATTTGTTATAGATTTATTGCAATCGATATCAATTCAATTTTGAATAAATTAATTGAAATTTAGAAGCACCATGATTAATTAATAGTAATTGACAATAACCATAAAGTCTAATTCAAATTATATTTAGTTATATCAAATATCATCTAATTCAAATTATATTTAGTTATATCAAATATCTACTTAATCGATTACACTAAATATTATGATATTTTATTAATGATCAAATTATGGAGCAAGCATCCTAAATAAAAATTATGAAAACAGTGATTAAGAAATAATAACTGCATAAATTCAAAACATATTCTCAAAAACATAGATTTCAGCATATTTTCAAAAAAATTCTAAACAATATTGATAATTTTTATTGTGGATGTAATAAATCACCATATTAATAATACTAGTAAAAGTCAGTAAATTAATAGAAGATTTTTATAACTCACAATTAACAAAATAAAAAGCATTTATCATAATATTATTTCAATGAATTATGAGAGAAATAAAAACAGTAACTTATGTTATCTCATTTTCCTTGATTTTGTTGGCTAAAATTTTTTTCTATTTAGATTTTCCAAAAGAAATATCTTTCCAAACATCAATATTTTTTAGTCGAAATTAATTTTTATTTTCAGTTTGTTTATTGTGTATATGGTTGTTATGTTTAATCTTTTTAGTTTTTAGTTTTTCATTTATCATTTTTTGTTTGATAAAGAAGGAGAAGAAGAACAAACAAGAAGGAGAAGAAGAAAGAGAAGAAGGGGGAGAATAAGGAGAAGTGATGAAGAAGAAAAAGGAACGAAGAAGAAGAAGAAGGAAAAGGAAAGGATGAAGAAGAAGAAGAACGAAGGACAAGTAGGAGAAATCATGAAGAAGAACCACATAAAAGAAGAAGAAATGCAGAGAAGATGAAAAATAAGAAAGGGAAAAGAAGAACAGAGAAGAAGGAGAATGGATGAAAAAGAAGAAGGCATGAAAGAGGAGGAGAAGAAGAAGAAGGATGATAAGGGGAAGAAGGGACGAAGATTAAGAGGGTATGAAGAAGAATATGAATAACATAGAAGAAGGGATGGGAGAGAAGACGAAGGAGTAACCAAGTATCGTTAGCTCGAGTGGTGAAACATCCTAAACAAAGCTTAGAGGTCACTTGATGGAGTGACGCTTGGGACAAAACTAATATTATATAATATGGTTTGGGGCCTGCAGAGATTGCAGGCTTCAGTCCAGAACCTCATGGTAATCCAAAAAAAAAAGAAGGAGAAGAACATAGAAGAAGAAAGGATAAGAAGAAGGGATTAAGAAGAAAGAGAAGAGATGAATGAGAATAAGAGTGGATGAAAAAGAATAACAATAGAAAAAAAGAAGGAGAAAAAAAAGAGAGAAGAAAATGAGGAGAAGGAGAAGGAGAAGTAGTGATAAAGAAGAAAAAGGAACAAAAGAGAAGAAGGGATAATAAGAAAGGATGAAGAAGAAGAAAAACAAAGGAGAAGTGATGAAGAAAAACTACATAGAAGAAAAAGAATAGCAGAGAAGATGAAAAAAACTGAAAAAAAAAACTAAAAACAAAAACATTAGTCCACACAAAAGAAAAAGAAGGAGAAAATAACAGAAAAAAAAATAGAAAGAAGAAGAACAAAAGAACAAAAAAAAAGGAACAAGAAGAACAAAAATATATAACTAACTAATATATACCATTATTCATATAACTGAATTATAAAAAGAATGAAGATGTAAAAAAGTTATTTTTCAATTAAATTACCAAACAAATAAATATAGAAGTTGGGTTTGGAAAACAACAATAAAATAAAACATGAGCAAATTAGTTAATATGATTAGATTATATTTTTAAAAAATAGGAAGAAAAAAAAGAGAAGAAGGGAAAAGAACATAGAAAAAAGGAAAGGAACATAGAAGATGAAAAAGTAAAAGATCAGAGAAGAGGAGAAGAATATAGAAAAAAAAAAAAAGATGAAAGAGAAAAAAAAACAGAAAAAAAGAGAAGAACATACATGAAAAAATGAAGGATAGAGAAGAATAAGAAGAACTGAACAAAAAAAAGATGAAGGAGAAGAAAAATGAAAAATAAGAAGAACATAGAGAAAAAAGAAGAACTACAAAAAACGTGATGAAGAAGAAGAATGGTGAAAAAAGAGGAAGACGAAGAAGGGGAAAGAAGAGAGAAGAATAAGAAAAAGGAGAAGAGAAAGAGGGAGAAAAAGAACAGAGAAGAATAGAAAAGAAAAAAGAGGGAAAAAAAAAAGAACAGAGAAAAAGGAAGAGAAGAAGAACGAAAAAAAAAACAGGAAGAAAAAGAAGAACAGAGAATGGATTGGGAGAAGGAGAAGAAAAAGAAACTAAATACAACATTAAAAACATATTATTTTTTACAATAACAACTCGCGTATCTACAATTACAACATTTTTTAATCAGTTATACGTAATTTATATTATCTTATTTTCAACTTAAAATTTTTGTACTTACAAAAATTAATTTTAATCCTTATAACACAACAAATCATCTATTATTAATATAACTATAAAATAAACACATATAAACCTCATTTGCATAATATATTTTGTAGGATGGATCATTTTATTTTAAAAAACTTCACTCCCTCATGGGCGTGTATACATTTGTGTAGTTGATAATTATCTCAATCTAATAAAAAAATAATAATTTATTAAGAATAAATGACCATTTTTTGCTAAACTAATTTAAAATATTAGACAAATATATTTCAAGTGTAGGAATACAATTGTTTAACTTATTATAATTATATATACAAATGATAAATAATTATATTTGTTTATAACTTAAAATCTTACCTCACTTAATCATTATAATAACATAATATATAATAAATCACTTTATACCACATAATTTGAATATATATAAAATTAACTTCAAAAATCATATATCGGTGCGGATGTGCAGGTCCAAAATTTAATATCTTTTTATAGTGGTTTATTCTGATTTGGTAATCTTAAATTGCCTTAACAAAATACTACTATATCTTACTACTTTTAGTACTTACTATGCACTTTGAACCTGATGAAAACGATGTCGGTACTTAGAGAAGATCCATCACTGGGATACTTTCCAAGTTTCTTATAAATATAATACTTATATTTTTGTTATATTATTTAATTTTAATTTCTGAATATAAATTGAATCAATCATATGAAGATAAGTATTATAAGAGTATCTAAAAGTATTAGTTTGCTTGTTATCCTCATGCAGCTGCAGGGCGAGCGTAAAAATTTAACAAACAACAAGAAGAAAATATAATGTTTGTGTTGTCGTTTAATTGATGCCGGCAACTGCCGCTAGTAGAATAAATTGCCGTCCAGTAATTTTAGCAACTACCGCAGCTATCTTTTGTGTCACCGGCGGTAGAGCTTGACGTTTCTAATCTCTCTATTTTAATAGGTTGTTGATGCTCATCCTCGCGACTGCGTGGGAAAACGAATATGACTTATTTCAAAGTCTCTTATTTGAGATATTCTCTTTAGTTTTCTTAACCATATAATAAAATACTATTATTTTTTCTTCTATTTTATGAGATATCCATATTAAAATAATTTAAATGAAATGTTCTTACTGTCAGAGATAGAGTTGCAGATAATATAAATATATAAAAACATGTGGGACCAGAAAACTATTAAATAAATAGTTAAGAATTATGGAGTTGAGGGACCATAATAATTTCGTTTCCATTCTCCTGAAATAAAATTGTAACTTTAGTTTTGTAAGAGTTTGCTATTTAATGTTCGGATATATTTTGTCTAGATATGCATCAACCAATTATGGCGTGATAGGTGGAGTTCTGGCCGTTAGGGGACCCACAGAAGGATAACGCTTTGAATTACGTTAAATTTTCATGACCAAGTGATTGAGGAGATTGGGCATCGATCACACAGCATGCACAAAGATAGGGGCCTAGCTAGCCCAAACGTTGGGAGGGGAAACAAACGATGCTAAGTGATAGAGTTGTCTAAGTTCATATTCTTTATCAAGAGTTCAAGACCATAAAAAGATTCACCAAGATTTGTGAAGTGATGGTGATTTAATAGTTTTTACTTAAGTAGGAATTGTTTGGTTGGTTTAGGTTAGAGATCGATTTGCCTCAAACGTGTAATTATTTTAATCATTTTCACTTGACTACAAAGATATAAGTCTTTGTTTTCGGCCTATTTAAATACTCAGAAGGAGAATCTATTTATAAATTACACTTAGAAATTAGTTTGGGATTCCCTGAATATTAAAAAAAAAATGGTCGGTGATATTTTTCATATGTGCAAAGACAAGCTATGCATTTTTCCATGCATGGGCTTCACTTCACAACTCAAATAGGCCACGTTGTTATTGTTGGGCTCTGTGAAATTCGATGGCCTATTTCATTTGTCCGATATTTTTGCTCCGTTTGAGAAGATGATAATCAAGAACATGAAAAAGAAAAATGATATCTA